AGTCTCAAAGTGGGTTCCTCGTCATCGAAATCGAATTTTTCTATAGAGGTTTCTCAACTTTCTTCACAATCCTTTCCTGATCTTCACCTCTCATGCTAAGATTTTTTAAGTGAAGGTTTATTTATCTTTCTTTTACAATCATCTTTCTTCTCTCTTGGGTAGAGCGCGGCCCATTGGTAGATGTGCCGGAGTGCAGCTTCGAGGTTCCGTGGTTCAGGTCCCGTCACCGTCAAAGTAAAATAAATCGTGTTCTGTTCTTTGGAGCCATGGGTGCATAATGACAGTGACGGTCAAATCTCACTATCTGGTCTGACAAAAGTAGCCCAAGAATTAGAGATGGGTGATGTTGACTAATTGCCTTCCCTCTACCACTTCAAAATTAGGGACGGCTAGCGCACATAGCTCTCGTGCAGCGTTGTACGAATTTCAACAAACAAGCAAATTATTCTCTCTTAGTCTTCATCTTTCACACTCTTTTTTTTTACCATTCTTATAATTATATTTCTATTCTCTCTGTTTCTCTCTTTTTTGTCCATAACTTCGTGTAGTGGAAGTTCGTATACAATCATTTCTTTCTCCTCTTCAAGTTTCCATCTCTCAAGTCCTGAAATAAAAATTTATTTACCTCTTTTGCAGTTATTTCCCCTCTGTCTCAATTTACAAGTCCCTAACTATTTATAGCAAAACAATCTTACATTTCATTTAATCCTACTTCTCTTCCCAGTTTTCATATCTCATTTCCTTAGCTATGTTATCTGTCTTACATCCTCTTCCCCTCCCTCTTTCACAACAACATCCTCTGACCTTGTACAATGGCCAGTTTTTCAAGGTTATTAGCTCTAAAAAACACATACAGTGTTAACTCTCACAAACTTAAGCATTATTATCAACGTTTCAGTCCTTAAAATAAAAACAAAATGTCGACTTCGCATTTTGCCATTAGACACCTACAATTTTAAGTAATGCTAGTTAACCTGAGAAAAAGGAGCTTCAGGGCTGTCTTCCAGACTGGTGTAATTATGAAGGAAATTTGAGTCTGCTATCGGATATTCACCATTCGAGCTTTGGAGAGGAGGAAACTTGTCAATGAATGTGGCAAGAAAATCATGCGGCTGTAATTATTGTATCAAATTATAGCATACACTCAGTGAGGCAGGACTACACATTTGGACATGACTGTCGTTGCAAGATTTTTTTATGATGATTCCTGTTGTCTCCGTGAAATCCTACGCAGAGACAGATGGGGATAGGAAGGGAAGCCCTTTGAGAAGGAAAAGCATGGTTATTGTGTATAGCCATTAATTAAGTTGGGGGAAATGCGTGAACGTTCCATGTATTTTATGACTTTTTTTTCATTTCTCAGCTTCTATTACACGTCTTTTCATCCAATGTTGTCTGAGAACTAACTGCACAGAGTAGAAATACTTGAGACGGCAGTTATATTTTCAAATAGCTGGTTCATCTAATAGATAACACACATATATATGTATGTATAACCACAGTATGCGGGCACAATCAACTGTCCTGATGCGGTCTACTGGTTTCATCGCGCCACTGGTTTTACCTTTCTAGAGCCACCCCACGTAATGGCACCGATTACAGGGTAAAGGCCTTTATGATATTCGGAAAAATCCTGGGCTTTTAACTCAAAAATCATGGAACTCGGTTTGATAGGCTTACGTACGTTGAGTAACATACTGACTTAACACTTCTTATTTAATAAATTTAGAATATCATAATACTATACCGATTCCTCGATCCTGATTAGTGGTTATGTCCTTGAGCAAGACACTCTACTCCATAGTTGCTTGAATCTACAGGGCTGTAAACTTGGGACTAGCTAATAAAAGGAGGTTACCATGCAATAGGCTCACATCCCGTTCAGGAGAATGTGCACAATTCTCATTCACTTGTGCCACTGGAGCCAGAGTTAAGTACAGGCCTTAGGTGCCTTTCAGGCACGGACGGATTATCTTTTTCTAGTTTCATATCTATTTCATTTAATAAGTGAACGTAATGCGCTATGTACTGAATATTATTCTAACATGTTTTCAACCATCAGTTGGGTACCCTTACTATTAACGATATTTTCGATTCGCAATGTGTTTTACATTGAATTATTGGTTAGAATCGACAGACAGTTGAAAAATGTTACTTACAGATTTAACTTTCCTCATGTATCGATTTACAGATTTAAGTCAGTTTATTCTACAGGACTGACCTTATTGATTTTTAGTTTTAAACAGTAGAGTTAGTTTCAATAGCATAACTTTATTTTCAAAAGTGTGTGTGCGAGTTTGTAACCAGTGGTATTCTATAAAAAAGCCATTGAAAAAGGACATGTCCTCCGTGAAAATTAAGCCTATGGTTAAATGGCCTCTCATCAGAAGTTCTTAACAATTGTTATTTAATCATTAAACACAATGTATTACTTTATTATATGTTACTTAGCTTCTGAATATAATGACGTTGTGTAAAAGTTTTACATCAGCCAGTATACTTGAACTACTTTTCTATTAACCATTTTCCCCCTGGTTGGTCAGCAATAAGTTAATGAACTTAAAATGCTCAAATCCGGAGTTCGATTCTCCGAGGTGGACAAAGTGCAGATAGCTCATTGTGTAGCTTTGCACTAAGAAATCAACGCTAACACTATTTAATCATTTAGTACAATACTTTAAAGTTTATTATTCGGTAATTCAAAGTATAGCACTGTCGTAATATTTTACTTAAAGCAAATTATATATTACAAAGCTTTAATATTTACTACTTAATCCTTTAATTCAACGCATAACTTTCTTATTTATTTTTATTCATTCTTTGTCGTGCAAATCTTAACGATCCAACGTTTGTTATTACACTATAAAGAACAAGGAACTGTTTTGTTGTTTCGATATTAATAAGCTAATGTAAGGCATTACTTTGGATTTTTCTTTTGTCGTTCAGAAAGTTAACCATCGAGATATGTAATATAGATAATTCATATTTCTTTTTAATTATTCAGATTAATTCACCTCTATATAATTTTTCATTTAATTATTCAGAGCAATTCGTTATTTTAAAATTTCGCAATTAATAAAAAAAGAATGTATTATATTGTAAGCGAATACTCAGTTAATGAACTACGTCATCATTTAATCATTTAGTGTAGTGCACTGCTTCAACATTACTTAATAATTCAAAGTAATCTAGTAATTTAATAATGATTTATAATGGCATGTCGTGAAGATATTTCATAGTCATATATGAAAAAATATATAATGATTGGAACATCTAAAGACTGAGTTTCATGGAAGTTTCGTAGAGCCGGATAACATAGAGTTTGGTAAGTTCATATGTATGTTGTTCGTATTGCTAACGTGCGTGCCCCCTAGTGGCACATCGGTATGTCTGCGGACGTACAACGCTAGAATCCGGGTTTCGATACCCGTGGTGGACAGATAACCCATTATGTAGCTTTGTGCTTAATTACAAACAAACAAGCCAACGTACGTTTAGGAAGCTTCCCTTGACTAACCCTTAATATCAATCTCAGATATTTCGTTTTCTGTTTAATAGACGTGCAAAGTGTATTACAGTTCTTAATATACCTATCTTTAGAGCTAGATAGTACCTGCTTAAACTTCTAAATTCAATAATAAACGATGTTATGGGTGGAAGGACGGACAGATAAATATACGTACTGGGTGAAAACATTATTGTTATTAAATGAAACTTATGCCCAAATTATGAAAACGAGTTTGGTGTCAAAAACCCGCCAGTATTGTTATGTTAAACTAATTTCTTCACGTTAAACTACGTAACACAGATTGTTAAAGTCAGAAAAGGCTGATGATGACAAAACCTTGTCGAAACGTTGTACATTTGCTGTCATGTTAAACTTATATTAAAGTTTTTCTTCATTACCCATTTAAGCCGTCTCCAGCCATTATTAACTTAAGAAATGTGTTTTTAGAATGCTTAAACTTGCAATTGCTTTCATCTTCCAGTGTATCACCAATAAATTTATGAACTTACTTTAGTAAAATCTATGGTTCGATTCTCCATGGTGAACAGAGCACAGATAAGCAATCATGTGGCTTTGCACTTAAAACAGCAATACCATTTGTATTTATTTTAACAAATTTTCTTTTCTCAAACATCAATTGGTTTCACACATGGATGTCATTTGTGTCAGCTCTGAATATTGTTTGTCTTTTGTACCTAATTTCACGCCAAGAGGGAGTGTACAAAGTTATGCCATGGTCTTCTTTTATAAACTTTGTTTTTAGTAGTTCTACATGTCTAAATATTCTTTCTGAATTGAAATAATACTTTTTCACAGTCTGCTTTTCAACTGACTAATTCTTCTATTAAAGCTACTGTACAGTTATTTTTTAAAATAATATAAATTCTAGAAATACATAATTATATTTGAATAGAGTTTTTGTGGTATATTTGTTAAATGGTTACAAAGATAATTTTTTTATTGTTTTTATATGTAATATTTGATAACATCTTAATTCAAATATTCTAGGATACAGAGCAGAAGTCACAGAAGCTTTACGATGGGCAACGATTCTCAATCCCACCATGTTATTTGGTTATGCATCACAGTGGTTAACAAATCAGCTTCAGAAGCCTATTGATGTAGGAGCAGGTAAGAACAAGTATTTTAAAATGTGTAAGTAAATAACAGTTTTATGCTTTAACTGAAGTCAGTATTTCAGTTCTTTTGTGCTCTTCTTTTTTTTTATTACTGGGGTATTTGAATTAACGATGAGACCTTTGAACTAATGTGCCATGGTGATATGAATGCAATACAAACATAAACTGCTTTACTTGAATGCTGACATGCTGAATCTTATCTCTACAGGATCTGACAATGGCTTTTGTCACACTAGTTCTCCATCTTATATCCAGTGGAGTGCGTTAGCTTTATTTCTGGAATGTGTTTTAAGTCGTATTCTTGCCTCTGACAAACCAAAGGTAGGTTTCTTTGTCTGGCCTAATTTTCTCTAACAGTTAAAAGTATAATCTCATCAATCTATAAATGCTGATAAAAATTATTTTTAAAACATTACATTGCTATACAAACTTTGTTTACCTTATAGTTTGACAACATTTTTTTTTAAATTAACTTACAAAAGACAATCTGAACAAAACTTTTATACAATTTTTATTCCTTGGTAGCCTTCAGCAGAAGAAGGGATTATTCTTCTCAAAGCAGTTTTAAACTATGACACTCAGGTAAAGTTAAATATTTCAAACCTTATTCAATTTATAAACACATTAACCTATTATATGGTGATTAGTTTAGATTTCATTGAATTTACTCTTTATATAATTAATAAATGGTGGCTAAATCAAAACTTGTATTGTAAAGTTGTATAAAGAATTAACCTGCAGCTGTTTATTATCAACATTTGTTTAGGCTATTTGATTAAAGATTATGTACTGCTGTATTCCTTTGTCACATTTCCTAATGATTTGTTTTAGGTATGTACTAGTGCAGTGGTTCTCAAACTTATTTGTTTGCGGACAACCTGAGTTTTTTAAATCTTGGTGAATCACAGTGGGATCTATATACTATACTGCCACATCCATTCCATAATTATGCAACCTTTCCATGGACTCTGAAGGGAGCCCGCAGACCACAGATTGAGAACCGCTGCACTAATGAAATAAAGATGCACTAGAGGTATGTTTTGTTGTAAACAAAGTGAAAATCGACTTTGTTGAAAACTTGTTCATATTGTTGAATAGTAGCTTCTATCTCTTTATTAATTTATTTAACAATTTAAGTGTGCAAAAACATGTGAAAAATATTCGAAGAACTTAAAATCAGGGACATTTTTGACCTACTTGTTCTTGCTACTTTTCTAGAGAACATGAGACATTGAACATATCAAAATACTCTTGTATCATGAGAATACTTACTGAATTTGTCAAAATGCTGTTATTTCATGAGAATACTTTCTAAATGTGTGAAAATAATGTCATAAGACACAAACTTGTCAAATTACTGTTGTATTAAAGCTTTGTGCTAGTAAAATATATGAATATTAAAATATTTTGTAACAGTTGCTAAAAACGTTTCTTATGTATCGCAGTTTTTCAACCACTAACTATTTTATTTGAGCTTTAATTTATTGTGGTTATGCTTTTTTTGCAGTTTCACTTTTATCTAATTTCCAGTTTATTGTTAGTCATCAAAACAAAACTGTATTTAATACTGTTTAAAAATACAGTGCATCGAATTAGAATGTTTTATATATGTACATGTACATAATGAAGCTGATGAATGTTGGACTGTCATAGTTGCTATTTTTTATGAATTTGACTTATTTTGGACTATTTTTCAGACTATAATTTATTCAGTGCACACTATACCTATTTGTTGAATGATTCATTTGATTTTCTCACACGTTAAGTCTTACAACAGTTATAATGCAAATTTTATGTGAAATCACAGAGGTTTATAAAACTAACATTTAACTTAGCATGTTTATTTGATAATAGATGAAAATATCACTTTCAGAAGTAAAAGGCAGTTTTCATACATTAAGTAACTCTAGTATTTATATCACTTTTTATTTCTGTAATATGTCATATTATGTCATTGTGTTATTCTTGAATTAGAACTCAAATCTAATTTTTAAGTCTGATAAGAAATATTGTTTCCATACTCTAACTCAAGTTATAACTGAAATGAAAAGTTTCTGGGGTTTTCATAACAAATATTTGTTTCCTAAGTTAACATGAAGATGACGGGAAGACAACAAAACTGTCCTTTAAGTTAATATTTCAGCCCCCCAGTATGATGTTTGGACACAAATACCTAGATGTTAAAGTTCTACTATACTAAGCATAACTATTTACTATTAGTATAGTCCCCATCCCCCCCCCCCCCCCCCTTACATTATACTACCTGGATCTTCAATGATTTTAAAGAGAGTAGCAGGTCTTATATAGGGAAGGATTAACAACTATGCTAGTCCACCTATATAAGACATAAAATCTCCAAATAAGTAATTTTAATGATTTCCCCTCAAATAAATTTTATAAATTGTTTATTGTGTATATTATAATTTTTTTTATATCAATATTTTGAAATTTATATAAATACTTTATATATTTATCATAAAATAATTTAAAATATTTAATTAAGGTTTTTTCATCAAAGTTATTAAACATCAGTTTCTGTACTAAGCTATTTATGTTAGATATTAAGAATTGTATATTGCTACAAATTCTACAATATCTAAGAAGCTGTGAATGTTTGATACTCTGTATGGCATTTGTTGGTTTATTTGTATTTGGAGAGAGAACTCATAAAATGTGAAATTTCTTTTATCATAAATATTAATATTACTGTAATTATTAATTATATTAATATCAAAATCTAAATAATGTACTTCAGTATATGATATGGAGGTAATAATGATATAGATTAGCAACACAGCTTGAATAATTATACCCTACTGGTATACCTATTATTTGTTTATAAAATGCTTATCAAAATGAATATAATTATTATATAAGCAAAAACTGAATATGTTTTTAATATTATTAGCAGTAAAAGTTTTATTTTCTACTTTTATAGCTAGATCAATAAATTCATATATTAACAAATTTATCACGATTACCAGGACTCATGCCTAACTTTTTCTTAGAGAGCCACCTAGGCTGCCAAAATATGCATTTTTAGGGTCCCATAAGCAGTTTTAGGGACCAATCCTATAGCTTATTGTAAAATGTATTCTATAGTGGAACTTAGAAGAAAAATCACTGAATTAAATTGCAGATGTTACAGGATAAATGTTATCAATATAATGACTTATTATTGGATTATTAATACTAATTAAATCAATATATATATATATACATATATATGTGAGTGTGTGTTTGTTAAGGAAAATAATTCCAGATTTTTAAAATTAATCATAAATTTATTTTCATAATAATGATATAGATTAGCAACACAACTTAAATAATTATACCCCACTGTATAATTGAAATTTATTGAAACTGAAGGTATCAACATATCTCATTTTATTTTATTGTAAACTCATTTTTCATGAAAAAAAACACAAGTCAAACCATTTAATTTTTTCTGATACGGTACTTACTTACAGTAGTTATTCTTGTTCAGTGCTGCCCCCTGTATGCAAACTTTTTCTTGATGCATGCCACAAAGCCTTTTGCTCTCCCCCATTGGAATTACTATATTCCAACATGTCTCTCATGTAAATCATCATGCGTCATCTCTTAACCAATAGTAGCATGATATGCTCACGTGATGTATGTGACTCCCTCTCCACTCCTCCACTGAACCTTCACTTCTCATTTGACAGTACCTGTGTTCGATGTGCTTTTTGTTTAAAGATTCACGTTCTGCTTAAGTTTCCTCAAAAAGTGGTTTTCTTTAATTTATTTAGTTTTAATCATGACTGTTTCTTCAATATAACAAATTTATTCAGTTAGTTCCCATCACATTATTCTTTTTCACTGCTCGAACTATGTGAACTCTTATTCCGAATAAATTCTGAAGTTCTTATTCCCGCATTAGGGGTCACACCCGGGACTTGCGTTATTTCTCAGACCTTACCCCCTGTCGGCTTTAGATCAGTTCGTGTTTTCTGACCATCCTGCTGACTGTCCTTTTTTGAGCCACCAATTGTTAGCTTCCATATTGCTTGTTTGGGGGTGTCTCCCAACCTATCAGTCTGACCCATGCTTAGAATTCTTGCCCGTGTCTTACCCTTACAACTTTTACAGTATTATTCTTCTTTACACCTCCTCTCTGAGTCTCTTCACAGAAATCCTAAGGGGTAATCTGGGGATATCCTTTCCCTTTTTCTTCCACACTGGCTTGTTTGTCATCTTCGGTTCTGGCTAAACATACATGGTTTCTCTGTTGTTGGGACCCTTTAGGTCATGATGCGGATTTTGCTCAGGTCCATTTACCAACGACCTAGCTTCAGAATTTATGTATGGCCACATTTCTGCAGTGATATGTTTTTGGCATAATCCCAGAAATAATGGCATCATGGGTGGCATCAGTCCAATAACAACCTGCCCTTACCAATATTCTTGCACATTTGTTTCAGTTGGAACCCCTTATGACTTGTATTACCATTTTCTGTCCTTCCCTTTCTCTTCTCCTCAGGGTGGCTCTTCTTGTCGTTTTTGTTTTTTGACAACACATCTCAAGTTGCTGCCAGTACTGGTGACTACCCAGTGGGTTATGGTCCGATGGGAGCTTGGCTTGCCAATTTCTTATCATGGGGGTTCCTTCATCGAGGATCAATGAGGGCTTCTTCAGGGTTTTTTAGGTGGATTTGTGATTCCCTTTCTTTCCCCACCTTCTTGGAATCCCGTGACCAGTCAGTGTCTGTACGAAATGGTTCAGGAATTGCAATCTCAGTAGTCATTGAACTTGTTCTACATCCTTCAACAGGATTTTTTCCCGACTTTTCTTGTTCCCACAAAAATGGAGAGGACTGGAGGCTGGTCATAGATATATCTCACATCAACAGCTTTGTTTATATGCCCCAGTTTACCATGGAGTCTTTTCTTACCCGGAGGTAAGCATTTTCTTCTGGTTTATGGATGACCACACTGGATCTTGCCAAGATTTATCTTCATATACGTATATCACCTCGGTCCTGTCATATCTTTGGTTTGTCCATCTTGGGATGGTTTACCCCTTATGTTTTCTGTTGGGTAGTCTGAGCATTTATTCAATATCTTCATGATCTGGGGTTAAGTTTCTCTCTCTTACATGGACGACCAGGTTCTCTTGGCTCATTCCAAACCAGAGTTGGCCAGGCACCTCTCTTGAGTGGCTGCTTGAGTGGGCTAGTTAATCAAACTGGGAAAGTACTTCCTCAGACCTCATCAATATCCCATACTTTTTGGGGTCTTTTTCAATGCTCGTATCAGTCGGGACCAGCATTCTCCTGTCCAATTTTGTCCTATGGACATGTTAGTTCGCCACACCCTCTCAGTTTCATCACTTACTGCTCACAAGGTTCTATCATCTTTGGGGATGTGGTCATCAATGACATCACTGGTCCCACTCATGCCCATATGAGATCCCTTCAGTGGGTGCTTCATGTTCGATGGAACCTTGCTCTGAATCCTCTTTCCACCCCAATTTCCCTTCCTTTTTCCCTGAGGGATGATCTGCTTTGGTGGTTGGACAAAGCTCATATGTCAGTCAGTGTGCTGCTTCCTCTCCCACA